GCGACTCACTTTCCCTGCGACTCACAGAAAAAAGGAATAACATATAAAGGAAGCTGATGTGCTTGCAAAGAAACAAGGGTGTTCCTTCCAAGTCAAGTGCCTGCCAATTAGGCCCTGAAATTGCTAAACATGGTGTTGCTGACATCCCTGTGCTTCGGATGCTTCCTGCTCTGTGGCGCAAGATTCTTCTTAGCCAATAACAAAACAATGTACCTGTCAACGTCTCTCCTCGGACAGGAACTGCAGTATGGGCGCATTTGGCTCTGGTGGCACAAGATTGTCCCTGCAGGAAGGCTTCGCTGTAGCGCGGTGCTTGTCTTTGGAAGACATCGAATGTTTATGTGGAAGCCGTCTTGAAACAAGAGGCGGTTCCCGCGTCATCTTCTACAGCAGCCAGGGGCAATAATCGGGTAGGAAAGAATGATGGAGAACGTTTTCTTGGTACTTATGTCCAAGAATGTAAGGGATACTCAAGATCAATGCCTGAGTCCTCTCAAAGCCACTTCTACACCTGTTCATCGATGTCTTTGGTTAGATCAGATAGCATGTCTGGAGTACTCCAAGGCTGCAAACACGATCTGAAGAATTTACAAACTCTTTTTCTATTGATTGACCCAAATGATGTAGATGGCTCCTATAAAACAAGCTGCTCGACGAGATGTTTTCTGGAGCACGGCCCATAGCAAATTCCCGCAAACAGCTGCCCCACCCAATAGCGATGGCCTCCAACCTAATAGGGATGGCCTCCAACCTAATGCAAACAGTGTCTTCTCAATTTCTCCCACCTGAGTTGCTCCAAGAGGATTTGGTGCTGCGAATGTGCAGGGTCCTGGACGGGAAGAAAACAAAAGCAGCCAAAGAACATGGGTAGCCCTCTTCGTGTTTCTGCTTGTTCCTCCTTTTTACAGACTTCCTTGGGACCTTTAGACCGAATGCTTTTGTTCTTCATTTGCTCTTTTGTGCTTTGATCTGAGCAAGTCCTGGGACACCCTCATGAGAGTCTCGTGGCAGCTGGCCTTGCAGTCAGAAGAAGCGTCAGAAGCGACGAAGCGCAGCTTACAAAAACTGTGATGTTTGCCTTCGTCAGACTGACTCGACTGGAACTACTTTGCTTCGACTGCTTCCAATCTTCTAGATCCCAGCCAAGAGACCGCTTTGCTCAGTGCCTCCTGATGAAGCAAGGACAACTAGACATCCACATTCCAAGATTGGCCAAAGCAAGTCCTATAGAATCGGGTTAGATTCCAAAAGAACATCGTTTTTCTACCATCTCTCCCAACACGCCTTCCTAGCATCAACAAAAAGACTCAGGGGCAAGTGGTGTCTGACTTTGTTGCTTTTCAGAGCTCTTAGTAGCGATGCCCTTTGCTCCTAGTAGCGTCCTCTTGCTAAGTGATCTGGTGATATCTCTTATCAAAACCTGTCGGATCCAGTCGGATCGCCACTGCTGCGCTCCGTCCGACTCGGTCCAACTCGGTCCTTGCACACGTTGATCTCTTGAAAGCCCAAGGACCGTATGTGACAATGCCCATCCGCACTCGCCCGGATTCCATGCCTGTGTGCTGTGTTTAGCTCCGAGTACAACATGATACAGAGCAAACGAACATAGTGACAAGCTGCGTGTCGGTAATTAAGCATGGACATGGTCTCACAGGCCTCTATGTTTCAATCAATCCTTGGATTTCAACTATTGCAAACTCAAATTTGCAACAAGTGCCTTACTAGTAGTAACAAGTGCCTTTCTAGTAGTAACAAGAAGCTCCTAGGAACACGTGCATCGCTTCTAGTAACAAGCGCCTTACTAGTAGTAACAACAAGCTGAGTTGTGAAGAGATGTGACAGAAACCGCGCACCTCGCCATTGAGACCATGTGGTGATTGGCAGCCCATGTTCGCACTCCGATGGCGACTCGCGTAGGCACCGACATGCCTGGATCGCCTCGATTCTGCGCAGATTCATCGCTCACGTGGGCTTCTTGTGAGCGGTGCTTTTAAAAGGCTAAGAAGAAGCTATCGAGGAATAAATAATAATACATTTTAAACCTTAAAAAACAGTAAGAAAAGTATCATAGGTCTTTCTTCCATTCTTCTTTTTTCAAAAAGGCTAAGGCGGCTAAGGCATTCCTTTTGCAGAAAAGGGCATTCCGGGCTCAAGACCTTGTAACACACGTTTTGTACACTTTCATTTTTAACGGAAGCCATTCAAGTCGGAGGCAAAAGTTAGGTCCATTTTTTCCCACAGTTTCACGCAGTCTTCCCAAATTCAGAAAACCTTCATATTATATATAGACAAGTTGCTATCCATCTCATCGATAAGCTGATGGTACTCGTGCTTCTGATGGCTGGGCAAAGAATTCAGCAGCTGCGTCAACTTGGACTTCCAGCGAGCGCTGACCATTTGCTCGTCCACCAGGCCTAGTATTCGTCGCGAATCATTCACACGATCAACATGAGACCACACATTCATTCGACTGTTCACACCTGGACTCGATCCCTAAAGCATCTTAAAGTACTGGGGTTCGCCTAGCTGGCCTAGCGCTTCACAGGCCTTGCACAAACCTGTGGACTTCAAGCTGACCGCTTCGAGCTCGGTCGCGAAATCAACTGTCGTGCAGCTGAATCACGAACTCGTGCACCTTGCTTTCTCATGTCTCCAGCTCTCTGGTCTATGAGGTCCTGCATTCGAGCAGAGAAAGAAGAGAACTGGCATTCTTCCTTGTGATACTGGGGGGGTTGTTCAGGCCAAGCCCTAGTGCATTGCTATGGTTGAGTCTCCCGATGTTTGAGAGAAGGGGTGCATCTTCACACGGAAGACAAAGAGGATAGAGTTCGACAGATTGATTTCGCCGGGCCACTACAATGACCTCGTTCTTTGACACACTGGGTGTCTTCATATAGTCGCAAATCCTTGGTCGCTTCAAACATGGAAATGATCCCAGCAATCAAAAACCAAAGGGTTTAGGGTTGCGTCTCAGCCGTCTCAGAGTAGTGAAATTGTTGTTATCTTTCTCAAGCAAAGCTCTAATCTCGTCACCAACCCTTAGACATTTGCTTGACCTCGGATCAACCGAACTGATTCCAAATGATTCCAGCAGTTGTTGCCGAGGATCATGAGTGCTACTTCCCTTCCACGTATTCGTGACAGAAGGCCTGCTACTAAGCCCATTCGGTAGGAGCAAACTTTCCTTGGCTCATTCGATTTGGTTCACAAAAGGAGTGAAATATCGAACAACACAACATCATCAGTGTTGGTTCTTTCTTTTCAAGTTCCTGTTGCAGGAATGCGTTCAAATGCCTTCTTGCGAGAAATGGCGGCAAGCTTCTTGAGTCCAAGGCCAAAGGTCCGTTTGGTTATATGAGTCAGTCATATGAGTCATGCCCATCCCACTTACACTAAGTTGATCTAAGTTTTAAAAAAATCTCACAGCAGCAATACGAAGGAGTGCGATCATCTCTTCGAACCGTGTTACTAATAGGAAGAATGCTACTAGTAGTAGTAATGCCCTTCTTTACTAGTAGCGATGCCCTTCTTTACTAGTAGCGTCCTTGCTCCTAGTAGCGATGCCCTTTGTTCCTACTAGCTGCTTGTTCCTAGCAGTAAGGCCAGGAGGCCCTAGTAGCGTCCTTGTTCCAAACCGAAGAAATTGAGACAAGTGACTGCAGCATTTTGGTCGTCATAATTTTCCCAAAGTCAGTAGCTAAGGCTGCCAACGGCACCTAAGTGCATCAGCGGTGCATGTGTTCGACATTCTAGGGCTCTTGGAGCCGCATATTTACTACTAGTAAGGCTCCAAGAGGCACCTGTTACTACTAGCTTCTTGTTACTACTAGTAAGGCACCTGTTACTACTAGCGTGGCACTTGTTTCAAATAGCTTCTTGTTACTACTAGTAAGCCACTTGTTACTACTAGCGTGGCATTTGTTCTTAGTAGCAATAAGAATTCAATTCGCCCAGGAACTATGAAGGATACGATGTTGAGACATACATCGCTCAAGCTAGCTCCAAAGCTCTTGCCCTGGAGCAATTCAAAGCACGCAGAACAAATGGCTGCTCACATTTATCTAGTCCCAAAAAGCTTCTGGCGGACGGGTAAAAGTAAAGCAAATCCGGGGTCTGTCAAGTCACCAACTGGACAGATAAACAGGTGTGAAAATGCTTCAGTTGACCGCACTCCAGCCTCAACTAGATAGTCCAGCAAGGGGTTGCCAAACCAGTATGTCAGCAGCAAACCAAAGGCATCGCATTTTGCGCGATGCAGCGAACCATACTTGTCGTAGATGATGCCGACCAAAATACCTGGTCTTTAGAACATCTGAGAAACAAGTGCATCGCTAGTAGTAACAGGTGCCTTACTAGTAGAAACAAGAAGCTAGTAGAAACAAGTGCATCGCTACTATAAAGTTTCTTGCCCCCCTTCTTAAGCTGAGAGTTGGATCTAAAGTCCCCTCACAAGCAACTCAGACAGCTTGCTACCAAGCAACCGTAGATAACCTTAGATTGCAAAGAACATCAAAGAACTCAAACTCATGCAAATTGATCCTGAATCCTCTCGCTAACTTTTTCAATCAGCACAAGGCATGGAAAGCAGCACTCAGCTCGGGCAGGCCATCGGCCGCCATCGGCCTTGGCCTCAGCACTTATCACTGAAGGACAAGACTGTCCAACTCCTTGTCCACCAGACTGTAGCACACCTGCCATCCGTGTCCTCATTCACCAGCTTGAAAACCGGCGTCAAAGCCCCGCTCCGGGAGCCATGGCAGATGCTCCTCAAGACTACCGTCAAAGCCTACAGAGCTTGCAAAGCTAGGAGCCCCTAGTAGCATCCTTGCTCCTAGTAGCGATGCCCTTTGTTCCTTCCTTGCTCCTTGATCAATTGTCCAATCCTGGAAGCTCGCAGGGCAAAAGACGGGAGCGATTTTTCAAGCTCAGGAGATCGTCCAAGCCTTGCCTCCGCCTGTTCGCACTCTTGTGACACCGTCACGAAGCGCACGATAAAAGGCTCAGGTGCATCCTTCCCAATAAAAGGACGACACCTCTTGTTCATTCGGCTCTCCCAAATGAACCTTCACAGAAAAACACTCCAACCGGTCTCGTTCAGAACCCATCTCGGATCTGGCTTCACAATCACAAACGATCTGTGTTCCAGCTGACAGCCAAATGCTTTTTTCCAAGAGACGCACGTAAGTAGTGGACCACGTGGTGTCATCTGCAAGGGTGTCAATTGAAGTGAACTCATCTAGTTCAACCAACAAATGAAAATGTAACCCATCAAAGAAGCCCTCGCGCTCTGTCACAAAGGTCACTCGGCGGGAGCGACATCGTAGGTGCTCGTATGGGCAGCGCTTCTCGCTTTCGCATTTCAAGCGCTGAAAGTCGATCCATTCGAATGCTTGGGGCTTGGCCAGAAAACGTTTCGAATCAAAACAACGAGCGTGGTACTTCACCTGCGCGCGCACCCCAAGTTCTCCATTAAAGGAAGCGTTCATCACCTGTCCAAAACGGTCAAGAAAATTGTCAAAGCGCTGTGGCCCACACGAAAACGATCGAAAACGCTACTGCTTGTTTACAGCCTGCTTTCCCAGTGCCCGGCCCTGCCTCTTCTAGCTGTGTGAGTTGTAGCGCTTCAGTGGGTGCGAAGAGCGTCCCCGCCGCCCGAGGGATGAACTGCGTCCTTACGCTGCACAGTGGCCTTGCACACAGAGCGGCCATGGTCTCACAGACGCCCTCAGAACTGGCAATGTGGCCCAGCAGCTCATGGATCACCACGTCATAGGGCGTTTTTGGAGTGACCGGAGTGACTGAAGTGCGCTGAGTGACCTGTGACAACGATCGAAGCGGATCGGAAGGTCTCACAGGTCGAGTCGTTCGAAGTGGAGCTTCCAGCTTGAAAGCATCTACTCGATGCAACAGCAAGCATTGCACATCACAGGCTTCCGGAGTTGCCAAAGTCACCTTGTAGATCTCGGATTCCAATTCTTCGGACACTTGCGTTCCAATTCCTATCAAAGGAAATTCCTGCACACAACGAATTTCTGCACAGCTTTCACCACGAATTTCTGCGCTCAAAAGGTCCACGGCATGGTGCCAAGCATTTTGGTTCACCTCGATAGCATGGACGTCGCGCGCTCCAGCGGCCAATGCCATACGACTCAAGAAGCAAAAAGCTCCAGTGCCGACATCAAGAACACTCTTTTTGCTCACAGCTCGAGCAATGGCTTCCCAAAAGGCCTTGACCCGGACAGCATCTGAAATCATGTCTTTGTGATTCTGCAAGCTGTAGTCGTGATTTTGTGTTTCGACATCACGGCCATGCGAGGTCCTTGCTTCCAGAATACAACATCTCAAAACCTTGGCAATCTCCGCAGGCTCGCACATCTCATTTCGCACACAACAAATTTCGGAAAGCTCGCGCTTCACTTCGTTTCTCACCAGGCGCTTCTGCTCTTTCCACACTTCTTTCAATCGTGCGAGGCCTATCTCATCAGTCTCTTCACACTTCATCGTCTTCATCTTTTGCAAAGCCTTTTCCTCTATGTCCAGCAATGAATGGCGAAGTCGACTCAAAATGCCAGGGGTCTGCAAAACCCGGAAGGGATACCTCAAACACGCGGAGGAGGGAGAATGGCCACGAACCCAAATGCACACTTTGAATAACTCAGATTGTGTGAAAACTAGACTTTTGGGGAACATTATAGCTTAATTAGAACTCTTGCGCGTCACACTTGTCAGAAACTGTGTGGACATACAAAAACACTCCTGCACAGGCTCCTGTGGGAGACGCGTCAAGCCTTCGAAAGTGAAGCGGGAAGTCTCGTCAGCGCGAAAACATCATGCAGCCCTGCCAAGCAGTTTTGAACAAGGACGCTACTACGGGCTCCTGGCCTTACTACTAGGAACAAGGACGCTACTAGCAGCAAAGGGCATCGCTACTAGGAAAAAGGACGCTACTAGGAGCCTGCCAAGCAGTTTTGCAATCGCTGACTTACCAATCCCAATGGCACGGCGACAGTCACCTTCACCAAGCGTCGCAACCTAGCGATTCCCGCCTCCCACGGAAGCCGTCTCCCAACACCTCTAATACGCACAAAGTATGACTATGCCACGCCTTCACATGTCTTAGCAAAATCGCACCACACCACATGACATAGTTGGAATGATTTCAACACATTGCAGCTGCATCCATGTCCCTCCAAATTGCAATTTTACCTGAAACCTGTAACGAAAACACAGCTTCGAGGCAAGCGCTTCAAGAGCAAATCCCAATGAGACTAGCCCAACACTCACCTGATGAAACACTGCAGCTTGGTTGGAAGTCCATGCCAAGCATCCCCCAACCAACCACAGGCTCTCAGACGTTGAAAAAATGTTGAACATCATGAAAACAAATGAAAACGGTCGCTTCGGTGTAAGAAATTCCGAAAAAGATATTACATTCCCTCCATCTGCAAGAATCGTCCTGATGCCCCAGAAAGACTTCATAGCTTTTGCATCATGTTAACATAGTGTGTGCTTTCGCTACAGAACTCTCAGCACACATTCTTATTATTGACCTCCCGTGAGCTGCCGAGAGGTACTAGCAGCATCTAGCAGCTAGTATATAGACAGCTCCTTCCTGACTCCTACTGTCATCGGCTTCCCGCCAGCACACCGCCTCTGAAACATAAGTTCATGGAGCCTCAATGAGGCTCCCCAAAGCTCAGCAACTTACAACCATGGTATGCCCTGGCACAACTGTGGTTCTAAAGTGGTAACGCCTCAAAGAAGGCTTGGTCAAGTTTCGTCTAAAGAAAAATAAGAAAACAAACTACAAAGGAAAGAAGAGCTTCTGAGTTCTTCCTTTTTTGTTTGGAGGAAGCTTTAGTAAGTAGGCTTAGGAGCGGCACAGAACCCTCATGGTGGCAAACAGTTCTTGATGTTCTTTGTTTTCTCCTTTTCTTGCCTCTTTTTTGCTCTTGCTTGCTTGCCTGCTTATTTGCTTAGTTGCTTTCATTCGTTGTTTTTCATTTTTCTCTGTCTTTCTTTCTGTCTGTCGGTCTTTCTTTATTTATTTATGTCGTTCTTTCTTGCTTGTCCTTTTCTCCTCGGACCTGTCTTTTTCTTTAGTTCTTCCTTCCTTGATGAGCATTTGAAGGAAATGTGATGAAATGTAGAGAATACCAGGAGAAAACGGTACTTGGCAACTTTCGATCTAAGCACAGCACTTGTCGCATCGTGACCTGCTCCGCGATCTGCTCATGGCAGTGACTGCGTGGCCATGGTTCCCCCCGCAAAGCTGAATGTGCAACGCTGCACTGCAGCAAGAAAGCTCCGCTGCTGAGCAAGAGAGTGACGGCGAAAACTGTTCGATAGAACTCACCAGTAGGAGTTGTGAATGGGTATGGCCTAAAGCCCACGTTGACATCCCTGAGTATGGCTTAAAGCCCACATTCATAAACAAACACAGGAACATCGAACATCCTCACCCAAATGTGCTTCGTGCAAAAATGCTCTTTCCGGCATGGGAGTGGAGCCCCTTCTCGGATAAATTTCGAACAAGCAGCGCTGATGGCTAAGAAGGCATACAGTGCAGGCTGTAGCCCCCACCCTGCGAAAATGCCACTTTGGCACGAGCACACGCCTGCGAGAGAACGAAGCCGAAAACCTTGTTAGCGATGCCCTTTGTACCTTGTTAGCGATGGCCTTTGCTCCTAGTAGTAAGGCCAGGAGTCCCTAGTAACGTCCTTGCTCCTAGTAGCGATGCCCTTTGCTCCTAGTAGCTTCTAGCTACTAGTAGTAATGCCCTTCTTACTAGTAGCTTCTTGCTACTACACCGCTCATCTGCCTGCCAGACGGACTCGAACCCTCCCAAAGCTGCATGACGTGTATCTGGTAGTACCCTTTGAAAGCCTTGTTTCAAAAGGCCTAAAAACCGGCATAGCCATGGACCACCTTGACCCCTTTGTGGCGGCGAAGCCCATCGTGGAAGCGTGCAATGGTTTAAGGATGTTTAAGGTGCCGCCCTGCCTGTGCAAACGTCATCCTTGCAGGTTAGCATGCTTTCCTCCATAGACCAGGGGAAGTGCAGCGAGCCACCATTGGCGAGAGATGACACCTTCCAAGCGGTTGAAGGCAACTTTCTCAATCATGCTCGAAGCAGCATTCAATGTCCGAAGCAAACCATCAGCCACACAAACTACTCGGCAAAAACAATAATGATTGAACTGGTGGATGAAATAGCCAGGTGTACAAATGAAATCCATTGAACATGTGTGATGATCCAATGAGCTGCTACTCCGCGTGGTGGTCGACCCTGCGGCCCATCCGACCTTGGGCCAACACTGGTCCTCATTGCAATCAGCATCCACCGTGCGTGGTAGCCACACCACATCTTTGGCACGGGATGCCGAAAGACTAAGTAAAGGCACCTCAAATGATGGCGGACAGCTGTGCTCGGTCAGTGTTTGGTCTACCTCCAGATTTCGTCCAAGTCGACAAAAACAATGGATAGTCTGATTCATGTCAATTCTTCGCTTCCTTTTGAAGTGGGGTTAAACTGAAGACTGTGCTCCTTTCGTATCACTCAAGCTCTACACGTACTACACAACCATAGAAACGGAAGACCCTTTTGTTTAAGACCTTGCATCTGCACTGTTGGCACCTCCTCAAGACGAATCTGCCCTTTGAAAATGTCAGCTTTTGCAACATTTTACCAACAGCAGCTTGGTGACTGCAAGCAAAGTAAAGACTGCACTGCCAGCATCGAAACCTTAGGCAAAGCGCAACTATGAAAAAGCATGCACAAGGTGCAAGCGAGAGCTAACAGGTCGGTAATTGGCTTTGAGACTGCAAAATGCAGAGGTATTATTGAATTGTGAAAAATAGTAATAAAATGTCTAGACGTCGTCCCTGTGACTCTGTGATTTTGCGAAACAAGTGAACAGAGTGGAGGCAAGCGACGCACTTTGTTCATGTAGAAATCCACGTCGCGATTGGCCTCCCAAGTTACAAGTTCCACACATCTAGGTCTAACCTGTGTATCTGCTGTATATACGGGAAAATTCAAAGAATAAGTCGTGCGATCACATGCTATAATTGTCCAACATATCTAGTCTTCACCCATCCCTCTCGTTAGCACGTTCTTTCACAGTTGAAAAGCTCCAGTATGTCCGCCTGAGAAACTCATGGCTGATTCAAGGAAATGAATACGAATGTTTTAGAGCGGATAATTTCGATTGTTTGTGGCAGATTCGTCAACAAACTTCACACAGACCGTCACAGACTCAAATCTTTCAGTCGAGGCCTCGTAGATCCCCTGTGACACGAGAGCCTCACTGGACGTGGAAGTCTGCTGTAGCTGTGTCTGTGTCCGACCGGGTGCATACTTGTGCTAGGAGCAAGGACGCTACTAGGGGCTCTTGGCCTACTACCAGTAGCAAGAAGCTACTAGTAACAAGTGCATCGCTACGAGTCGAAAACTGGTCATAAGGATGCCGCTTGGAATGCCGATGCACAAGCGCCCGCGATGCAAAGGATCAAGGGAAACATGTTCTTCATGGCCTTCGACGCAAAACGATACCGACGAATCAACATGTATTCAACCGTTTTTGGTCGAAAGGAGTGCACGGGAGTTCACTCAGAGAAGAACATCACATCATAGAACTTGCTCGCATTCTTTCCCAATGCAAGCAAGAGTGTCACCAGCATGTCATGAGGAGACCCTGGCGAGACCTGGCTCACAAGTTTTGCAGAAGATCTGGAAGGGTTACTACTAGTAAGGCACTTGTTCCTAGTAGCAAACATTGTTACTACTAGTAAGGCACCTGTTACTACTAGCGTGGCACCTGTTACTGTGAAAAAGAATCCTGGTATGACCACCCAGGTGACGGAATTGGCGCCTTTGAAAGGCCTTCCTCGAAGTCATACATCCTCACATTCCCGTGTGGCCAAGTGCGGCGCAAGTCAGGTGAGAGTGAAAGGGAGACAAAAACCGTCAGGTAAAAAGACAGCGACCCAAATTGGCCAACTTGCGCCAAGCACAAGTGCTTCACAAGTGCTTTCGGGTGGCTGCAAATAGAGGAAGGTGAAGGTACCGAGTGTTAAGATGATCACCGCAATCCATTCAACCCCTTTCCTGCGACGCAAAGCAAACTCCGCCCAGCAAATCCAAATCGAAAATGGATAGCAAACACAAGTCTGAAACCTAAGTTCAATGCGTGTCAACTATTGCATGTTTCCGCCTTGTTCATGTCTTGCACAAACACAAGAAACCCCGAACATGCAACTGCTGGCCTCCGCTTCTTGAGAACAACTCGCTCTCCAAGCGCCAGCACTGGCGTGTAGACCTGCATGAGATGTCCCTCTGCAGGAATGACCCCATATGACACTAAAGCGCTCAGTTGACACGCCGTGCAATCATCCAACCTTACCAAGAACAGCTGCCATGGGTGGAGACAAGCCAAAGGCATAGGCCATGTTGCCTTGGAGATTCCCATGTTTAATTTTACAATCTTGCACCGTTACAAGATTCAAAGTCAAATGCAAGACACGAAAAGTCAAAATCCGCAAAACTAAAGTAAACCGTTTAGATGTTCAAACGAATCGTGGCAAGCGAAGTTCCATATCAATAAACTGCAACCCAAGTGGCTAAAGCACATTGTGATCTGAGTGAACGAGGCGAAGCAGACTACAACCGACTAGAGACCAAGACCGCGGCATCTCAATGAAGGATATTTAGGCAAGAAATAGGCTGGGTGTACTTCACGGCTATATGTTGTGATGATAATGAAGGAAGGATTTGAAACCAGCTTTGAATTCAGCTTTGCGAAGGTTCTTGGGGGGATAGGCAAAAAATGAATGGATTTATACTTCATATACGCTTATATTTGGGTGCATTTACGAACAAGGTTGCAGGGCATCAGGTAAGGTGACGGAAAAGAGATGTTTTGCTGGAACCAGGCTGTCTTTCGCCAGGGCACAGCTTGTAACACGGAAGAGCTCGTATACTCGAGAATCTTCTTGAAGTTCCAAGCTTGAAGAAGCCCCTTCGTAGACCTTTGAACGAGATAAAGCCACAAGAGCCACAACTGTTGCAAAAATGTATGTGAAAAAGAGAACGAAAAAGCTTAAGAAGCTCCAGCCAAGCAGCTCCTCCCCCAACTCCTGGCAATCAAATAAGAACAGAAGAGATTGCTTGAGGAGTTTCCTGCCACATTATGCCAGAAACACCCTGCCCTGCGGCGATGTTCTCATCACTCGCCACAGAGTGGACTCGGAATGAAGGCGCTCTTTCATCAATCGATCAGTTGAGAGTCTGGGCAAAGTGTAGGTGGAGCACCGGACTTCTTGTTCCTAGTAGCGTCCTGTTGCTACAAGTAGTAAAGGCCCGGAGCCCCTAGTAGCGTCCTTGCTCCTACTTGAGAGAGGAGGGGGTGAACGAAAGGTAGCAGGCAATCACAAGT